AATAAGCCACAAACTATCTATCTCACGCGCAATATAAAAAGACAGCCGCCCACGTCTCATCCCATTAAGGACGCCAATGGCAACTGGCAGAAAAAAGATATTGAGAAGGCAAATGCGTTTGCGAATCATCAGTGGAAAGATACACGCCTTTTAACACCACTAGCGCTGAACATGCCAACAATGTAACCAAACGTACTCGATTAAAAAAATCGCTAGGATATGATATAATAGACTCAGCAACTCTGAAATCGCTCCCGTTCAAAGCAATCCAAGCCATTGAAGAAATCTTTAACGGAGTTTTACGATTAGGCCATTTTCCTAGCCAATCAGCCTGCTACCAGCACTTTCCAAAATTTTCGAAAGGCTGTTTTTGGACAGGCTGATGGGCCTTGACGAGGTCGCGCACGCGCTTCCTTCGCACCAATTCGGCTTTCGTTGTCAACACGGATGTCTAGAACAGGTACACAGCGTAATGCATTTTATTCAAGAAGCCTTTGAGGCCAAGATGTACTGCGTCGCCGCTTTTCTCGACGTTCAGCAGGCATTCGACAAAGTATGGCATGACGGCTTAAAATTCAAGATAAAACACCTGCTTCCAGCGCCGTATTACCGAATACTAGAATCATTCCTTTCTAATAGAACCTTCTTTTTCTCCTCAGAAAGAAAGCACATAAAAGCTAGTGTTCCGCAAGGAAGTGTGCTAGGACCAGTGCTATACACACTTTATACATCCGACATGCCAAGTCATAATACCGACGCACCTCCAAATATGCTCATTGCAACATATGCCGATGACACAGCACTACTATCTGCAAATCAATGCGAGTATGCAGCCACAGACGACCTGCAAGAACACCTCATTCTAATTCAGGACTGGACAAAACTGTGGAACATTAAAATCAATGGGGCAAAGTCTTCCAGTGTCTTGTTCACCCTACGGCGCAACACCTGTCCAGGCGTATTTTTCGACGACTAGCTCATACCCCAAACTACTAGCCACAGATATCTTGGCATTTCACTGGACAAGATATTAACCTGGGCTGCACACTTATCCAGCACGGCAATCAAGGCTAAATCAAAACTTGACTGGTTCATTGGACCCAAGAGCTCACTTCGATTGCATTGCAAATGCATAATATTCAAGACCATCCTGGCACCCATATGGACCTATGGCATTCAACTTTGGGGAACTGCATCAAAAACACAGCTGACCAAAATCAGGAAGGTTAAGTCGATGGCGACGAGACGCATCAGTGGGCTCCCATGGTACGTCAAAAATTCGGTGAACGAAAATGACCTGAAACTCACCCAGATAGGTGATGAAATTAAACACCACTCTAGTAGGTACAATGACCTGGTGAACATTGTCATACACATTATATAAGATCTCAATACGCTGATCAAAATAATAAAATGACACACAAAAAACAATAAAAAAACAAGTAACAGGCTCTAGTCATATTCTTATATACACCAAATGCAGCTCGTTTGCTTTAGTAGTAATAAAAATAAATTAAAAAAAAAAATGTTCCCTTGGCAGGGTTTGAACTCGCAACTGACCGCATTACTTGCTGCTGCCTCTACGCAACAGCTACAGCAGCCAAAAAAAAAAAAAAATGGTTTCCTCGGCAAGGTTCGAACTCGTAACTGATCGCGCTGCTTTCCGCCGCTTCTAGTCAATAGCCACACCAATAATTAAGTCTTGATGAGAAAAAAACGAATTCAAATAGCAGCACAGAAAACAATACAATTGCAATTGCAATGCTGTTGATAGAATTCAAAGGAAACACGCATGAATGTGTGTGTGTACAAGTATACAGAAATTCTTGGAATTTGCGTAGCAGCTATGCTGTTAACACGTGTGCACATAACTTTTGTGTTTCTTAACCGATCTTAATGCAATTTTCGACAGTACATCTTATTGTAGAATAGAATAAAGAATATTTGTGTATTCTCAAAAATTCAATTGCATATAAATTGTGGCTTAAATTGATGGGCAATACAAGTTGACTAATTAACTTGATTTATGGCTTTGTTTAGTGACTCGAGCTCATATTATTTGCTGAAATTGCTCAAAAAACATAATTTCGATATAGATTTTTATCGATTACTTGGAAACGGGGCAAGCTATCGAATATCGGAAACAAACTCGATCTACGCGGGCACTAGGAGGACCTATAGCTAAAATTTCAGTCTCTAGCTCTTATAGGATCTAAGATTCTTGCCTCATACATACGGATGGACGGTCGGACGGACGGACAGACAGACGGACATGGCTAGATCGACTCGGTTATTGGTGTTGATCAAGAATATATATACTTGATGGGCTCGGAGATGTTTCTTTTTGCCTATTACATACATTTGCAAAAATACATTATACCCTTTTTACCCATTTTCAATGGGTTCAGGGTATAATTACAGTTAGCGTTGAATAGTGCCACATAGCATTGTAGCATAGTAGCACAGTGTGTAAATGAAATTAATTCGCAGAAAGCCAATGGATTATACTGATAAATGTATCATACAAATAAAAACGAGAAAGAAGGGCTATCTTATGCACCAACCTTTTCATAATGATAATAGTGCTTTGCCCGTATCTAAGAAGCACAGGGAAAATAGTTAATGCCGAGTATGGTTAAGATATCTTTATAAACAAAATTTTCCATACAACAACTTAATTTTCGACCGATCGTTCCTATGGCAGCTATATGATATATGGTCCGATCCAGCTGGTTCCGACATATGTACTGCGTGCAACAGAAAGAGGCACTTCTGCAAAGTTTCATAAAGATAGCTTTAAAACTGAGAAACTAGTTCGCACAGAAACACAACAGACGGGCATGGCTATATCGACTTGGCTGTTGATACTAATCAAGAATATATCTACTTTATGGGGTCGAAGATGTCTCCTTCTAAGCGGTACACATTTCACGACAAAATTATAATATCCTCTGCAAGGGTATAAAAATGCAATATCATTTAGACACAAAATAAAACAAATTGATTTTAGATTTATTAGTACTCTGCTAAATAATACCTCAGCTTGCGGGTATTCGTAATAAACATTTTTTATTTGGATTGCTTTGGTTTTTTTATTAGGAAATTTTTATATCTGATAGAAATATTGATTAAAATAGTTTTATACTTTTCCTACATGCCCTTTTATCACATTAATTAATATATATATTATTTTGAGATTTTAAATAAATATTAATTAATTATACGTGCTCATTTTGTAAGAAATCGTAAACTTTTTTACATTGGATTAGCTAAAAATTGCTTTTACAAATCTTCCAATATAATAAATTCTAATATTATTACGTTGTTAACTATTACATGATATTCTCCAAATTATTGCTTAATGTTTGACTAATTTTAATGTTCGATTATTTTAAGTTAGAATTTCTTAAACAACTATAGTAAAAACATTTCAGATAATAATCTGCTTAATTTGAATTGTATTTCACATCATACTAGAATATATAAATATAGGTATTTGTAAGTAGTAAGTTAATTTTTCTTTTTAGAAAGACCTTAGCAAGAAATAGAAAATGAAATGAATATATGCTAATTTCGAATATAAACAAAATGAACAACGCTAGTAATGTCTTATACTAATAAATATGACAAACCAAAGTACAAAGTCACACACCCCAAAGAATGCTCACCTTGACTACAAATGTTTGGAAAATTGAAATCTTAACATTAGGAAATGATCATTATTGCAGGGTTTGTCAGTAGCCGTACACCTAAAAGAAAAATGCTCTTAAATTGGAAGCGATAAAAAGCTATTATTTTCTTAAGCCCTCAACCCATTGAGTTTAATATTCTCGAACAGAACGTGCTGAATCGAGCTACCCTTGACTTGAAATTTGAATTGAATGTTCTCGTATACCACATGCCAAGCTAGTTAAATTTTTGGCGATTTCTCATCCCATTTCGATTAAATCGATTTTAACATGGTTATTCAAGCATAACTCTTAAATTATATGAGCTTATTAAACCAAACTTGGTGTGTAGCTTTTCGTAAATTTTATACCGGAGAAACGATACAAGTTTTTAATGTTTACCTCGAACACATTGAAAATGTATGGAACAGACAAAAAAAAGCATCTCCGACCCCATTTATATCACTTCGATCTCAGAGACTTTAACATCTAGACCCTAAAAATGTTGAACATCGATTTTTGTTTCAAATAAGCGATAACTTGTCCCATTTCTATGAAATCGATATCAAAATTCAGAATTTGAGCACATCTTTGAGCTGGAGACACGAAATTTCGAATCTGAACTGTCGTATTGTAGTATTGTGGTGTACACAGATAAAGAATATTTTCCTTTATGGATACCTGCCTTCCCCACAATATTATATATTCATTATTTACACACAGTTTAATACCATTCCGTATGCTACTGAAATTTCATAAAAATTTATTTACCTAATTTTTATATAATTTCTGCTCATGCAAGAAGTACTTTAGCCTTTATTAAGTCCGTGCCGTCCTAGAGTGACAAACTCTGCAGTAAAGAAGTTTTTGTTGTTTTGCAACTTGCAATCAACTGATCAGCAAAATATATCTACTTTATTTAAGTTATAATTTAGCAATTAGCAATTAAAACATGCTATACATTTTTGATACTTTTGTTTACAATAATTATTCGTCATAACATACTTCATCTCTTTTTTGCAGTAGATAATTCTTATGCACATTTATTAATCGTACTTAATACATTTTCAGACACATTTATCTTATTACTGTCTCTCGTATTTTGGCATTTTTTTTTATTGAATTTTTCAACTTCTATATATAAGTCAATTCATATATTTTTAGAATTTTCACATTAAACTACTACTAATTTGATAATTCGGTTTATTAGGAAACTTAGCTATCAATTTTAAAAAAAAATTGCAGAGCAGTTATAACATTATAATCTCTACAAATTTAGTTAGCACAAGAACATATGCATAAAATTGTTTTCAATTAATTGGTTAAAAATTACAACAGAATGTTTTAAATAGCCTTTAATACTTTTTCTTCTTAAATAAAAGATGTTTCTTTAGGTCCCATTTACAGAATTTGTTTTTGAAAACAATAACAACAAAACATGGTTTTCTGTACGTATCCAATGGCTTCAATTAAAAATAAAGAATATGGATAAAACTTTGTAATATCTAAGAAATTAACATAACATTGCTCTTGACGCTATTATGCTATCGTCTAAAATAACCATAAAAAGATTGGAATGGCCAGCAAAACTATGGAGTATTTCACAAGGCCACTAGAGTTACAACCATCCTCTTTGCAGCAATAGGTCTGGGTTTCCCAAATTTCTGTAAGAAAAAAACATGTGAATAATAATCGTAAGGCTATAAGAATACCAATTTATTGAAGAAAGAACGGCTATCTTCGGCACACCGAAGATTAAATAAATTGGCATATGTTACCGTGCCAATGGCATGGCTTCAAAACTAATTTGATTCGAACCGGTTTAAGCCCGGACTTCCGTTCTTTTTGATGCAATGAACCGAACCACTTTCACAAATAACAACCAATCCCGAACTTAACCGATCTTGATGAAATTTTCTGCTGTATAGCTTTTTGTGCTATAGAATATTCGTATATGCAAAAATACAACATCACTAAGATTGTAGCTTAAATTAGTGGGTAGTTCCAATTGATTCATTACTAGATTTTGCACTGAAGGGATACCGGTATCTAATAAATTAATTATGCTTCATTTGTATGTGTACATGTCATATTTGGTGACACTAACTCTTAAAACCTAAGAAATTTCTCAAAAAAAAATATATTTCCATGTCGATCCTTATCGGTTGCTTAGAAACGGGGCAAGTTATTGATTATTGTATTGCGTATAATTATATCGATAATTATGCGAAAAAGTATCGAGCTAAGCATCTCTAAAGTGGGAAGCTAAGTAGCAGCACTAACCAAAGAACATATAGTTGGTGGACACAAAGTGGACACAAAAAATATCGGTGCATCTGGTCCAACGAGCGAGTAAGATATACATATGATGTCTTTTGATCGCTCCCTCTACAAAAAACTGCTTTGGCTTACTCTCTTCCATATGATTTGTGCGATAGAACGGCATCGCTGTTTATTTTTATCTCGCTCGCACTTACTCTCAGTGCTCTCAATGCTCTCTTTATGTCATTGAGTAATAAAGAGACAGAGGAGGCTTTTGTATCAAAAGCTCTTTTTCGAAACAGTTCACGAGCGATAGCAAGGTTGCAAACTCAATTGAGTATTACCACTAACCATACAATGCATAGACTTGTCAAATGTTAACATAATCGGATACCGATAAATCGTCAACGACTGAGCCCCATGGGTGACCGCGACCATTTTAGTGTGCCCAGACAAAGTAAGACTGCTGAGAGTGGCAGCCGAACGCCGGCCTCGACAGCCGAACGTTCAGTATGAAGCCGCATCCCGCTCAGCGCACAACGTTGCTGCGGCTGATGCTGTTTTGTAATATATGTATCTTTTCAGCCCAAATACATACATATGTGTATATGCGTGTGCAGAGTGCCCCTCGCTCACACTTATTGCTTTGCGCACTTGTGTGCATCTCCTTCTCCCTGCATAGCTTCTCAAAAACCCCGAGATCTACAAACATACATACATATGTTTGTGTTGTGTGGATGTGCGCACAAGTAGATCGCGGCGTTTGTCGCGAGCCAGAGATTTTTTCTTCAATTGTGTGCCCTTTGTGCCTGTGGTGGCAAAAGGCACACACATTCAAATGCTCTATCATGTATTTCTTCGTCCAGTCAGGCATAATGAGAAGAATCTGATATATTTATATTTATTAAAAACTTAAATGACCTAAATGATATATTTATATATTATATTTTAATTTTTTTGTTTACTGTGGGGACCAATTTTGCTTAAAATTAAAAAAAAACTAAGTCGTATTCCTGCAAGGGTAATTCTTCGTCGGCTTGTCGAATAATTTAAGAAAAGACCAAACATTGAAAATGTTCAATTTTTTCGACTTGCTACTTGTGCACACGCGCACTCTTTCAAGTAAGCAGTTGTGTGACATTATTAAAGGGTTTGGCCTGTTCATGTGCAAAACTCCTATTTTCCATGCATGGTGTAAGGGTAAGGGTACCTGAACGTTGGCATGTGTGCATAATAACTCTTTGGGACTGCCAAGCACACACACTTACACACTTTTCTATATGGATGGAAGCATTTATGCGTTTGTGTGCGTGTTGGTTGCCTGCCTGCCTGCCTGCCCGATGCAAATTTGACCAAACTTGAAGTTTTTGGCATTTCTGAATTTCGAGCTCTACACACAGACACACACACACAGAGAAATGTGTGCGAATGAGCCGATCAAGGGTTTGTCGTGGGACAGAGATATTTTCATCAATGGGTGCGTAAATTTGGGCGACGGTGGGCTTGCGGCCGCGTAAGGCACACATGTGTGAACAGGCAACGAAAACAGGTGAACCGCACTTGCCGCTCGTTTGCACTTTGATATGGAAAAAATGCAAGTGATCTTTTAATGTATTTTTCGACATTGTAAACATTTTGGGGTAAAGGGTTTTATGGCAGGCAATTAACGATAAGAATGTGCAGCATGCGTCTGCATCCATATCAAAGTGCAAAGGTGATGAAAATATCTCTGTTTCACGACAAACCCTTGATCGGCTCATTCGCACACATTTCTCTGTGTGTGTGTGTCTGTGTGTAGAGCTCGAAATTCAGAAATGCCAAAAACTTCAAGTTTGGTCAAATTTGCATCGGGCAGGCAGGCAGGCAGGCAACCAACACGCACACAAACGCATAAATGCTTCCATCCATATAGAAAAGTGTGTAAGTGTGTGTGCTTGGCAGTCCCAAAGAGTTATTATGCACACATGCCAACGTTCAGGTACCCTTACCCTTACACCATGCATGGAAAATAGGAGTTTTGCACATGAACAGGCCAAACCCTTTAATAATGTCACACAACTGCTTACTTGAAAGAGTGCGCGTGTGCACAAGTAGCAAGTCGAAAAAATTGAACATTTTCAATGTTTGGTCTTTTCTTAAATTATTCGACAAGCCGACGAAGAATTACCCTTGCAGGAATACGACTTAGTTTTTTTTTAATTTTAAGCAAAATTGGTCCCCACAGTAAACAAAAAAATTAAAATATAATATATAAATATATCATTTAGGTCATTTAAGTTTTTAATAAATATAAATATATCAGATTCTTCTCATTATGCCTGACTGGACGAAGAAATACATGATAGAGCATTTGAATGTGTGTGCCTTTTGCCACCACAGGCACAAAGGGCACACAATTGAAGAAAAAATCTCTGGCTCGCGACAAACGCCGCGATCTACTTGTGCGCACATCCACACAACACAAACATATGTATGTATGTTTGTAGATCTCGGGGTTTTTGAGAAGCTATGCAGGGAGAAGGAGATGCACACAAGTGCGCAAAGCAATAAGTGTGAGCGAGGGGCACTCTGCACACGCATATACACATATGTATGTATTTGGGCTGAAAAGATACATATATTACAAAACAGCATCAGCCGCAGCAACGTTGTGCGCTGAGCGGGATGCGGCTTCATACTGAACGTTCGGCTGTCGAGGCCGGCGTTCGGCTGCCACTCTCAGCAGTCTTACTTTGTCTGGGCACACTAAAATGGTCGCGGTCACCCATGGGGCTCAGTCGTTGACGATTTATCGGTATCCGATTATTTTAACATTTGACAAGTCTATGCATTGTATGGTTAGTGGTATTACCACTAACCAAATAACATATAGACCGGACAAATCCTACTTTTGATGGTGACATTCGATATTTCTGCGGCTGGTCCAAACTCGCCTTCGTTTTTGTTCGGGTTCGAGACATGCCCGCATGCTCTCAGAAGCAAGAGAGTAAGAATACATATGGCCTGTGTCGGGGAACGGCAACGCTGTCTTTTTACTCGCTCACTCTACAAGAAACTGCTGTGGCTTACTCTCATCCATATGATTTGTGCGATAGAACGGCATCGCTGTTTTTTATCTCGCTCCCACTACAGGAAACTGCTTTGGCTTACTCTCAATGCTCTTTCAATTTGTCTATGTACCGTTTAAATGTTTGTGTGTGTATGTGTCCGCACAAGCAAAAATGCCCACAAATTCAATTTTTCTCAAAAGTCGGTGGCATTTCTTCCCTTTTGAGGGGACGAGTAATATGAAATAATAAAAGGGTTTGCCCCGTCGATGCGAAATTCTTTCATTTTAGCTCGTTCTTCTTCGAAAGGGTACCTAAGCGTTGGCATGTGTGCATTTAAAAGTTTTTGGACTTGCTATTCACGCATACTTGCGTATTTTGTACATGAATAGAAGCATTTATGCGCTTGTGTGCCTGTTGGTCCCTGCCTGCCTGTCCGATGCAAATTTGGCAATATTTTTGGACTTCTGAATTTCGAGCTCTACACACACACACAGAGACACAAATGTGTGTGAATGGGCTGATCATGGGCGCAAAATTTAAAAATATCATTATTGGCACGCTTCTGTCGCGCGCCCTTCTTTTTATGATTTAGGGCTTGAATTGATGAATGAATGTTGACCCCTCATTACCTGTAGATCAAATTCATATATGAAAAAGCTAAATATTTTAAGACAATAAAATTATTAATACTATAAATATATAATTGCTCCTTTTTTGTATTTGGTATATTTGAATATTTTAAAGAGTTTATTTTTTACACAAATTTCCTAAAATTATTTAAGTGATCAGTCACTTGACCTACATATGCAGGTGCAGGTGTTTGCCAAAAGTTGACCCTTTCGGCCCAACGGGCTGCTGCAATTAATAAGGGGTCAACATTCATTCATCAATTCAAGCCCTAAATCATAAAAAGAAGGGCGCGCGACAGAAGCGTGCCAATAATGATATTTTTAAATTTTGCGCCCATGATCAGCCCATTCACACACATTTGTGTCTCTGTGTGTGTGTGTAGAGCTCGAAATTCAGAAGTCCAAAAATATTGCCAAATTTGCATCGGACAGGCAGGCAGGGACCAACAGGCACACAAGCGCATAAATGCTTCTATTCATGTACAAAATACGCAAGTATGCGTGAATAGCAAGTCCAAAAACTTTTAAATGCACACATGCCAACGCTTAGGTACCCTTTCGAAGAAGAACGAGCTAAAATGAAAGAATTTCGCATCGACGGGGCAAACCCTTTCATTATTTCATATTACTCGTCCCCTCAAAAGGGAAGAAATGCCACCGACTTTTGAGAAAAATTGAATTTGTGGGCATTTTTGCTTGTGCGGACACATACACACACAAACA